TCAGCCAACCATGTCGATCGATGGATCGAAAGTTTCTCGAGGAACTGCACTACATGCTGTTGCACGACAAGCGGCGGCTTGAAGCAATAAGCGAGGTGTGCAGAAGGTCGAGAGACCGGTCATCGGCTGAGGGTTTGAGGTTTGCTTTGCCGTTCTTGGTGTTTTTGAGGAAAGTCGCCCGCCGTCTCGCCAACGAGCATCAGCCGTCTGTGCAGAAGAGCGAGCAACGGAAGTTTAATTTCGACCGACGAATGACTAAGCACATGTCTGATCGAACCACAAAACGGAAATATCAAGACGAACATGTGACTCACTCACTTAACTGCTAATTAAATCCCTCTATCTGGCATCGAAACGCGTTCTGTTTGAGCATCTGGTTCCTCTAATGATTCCTTGGCGGCCGTGCGGCGTAACACAGTTTCGTACGCAGATCAACGGTCGTAAGCGACTCGCGTTGTCCCCTTAGTAGCCGCTGTCCAAGTTTCAGCAGGTTTGCAAAACTCAGTCTGAGCTTAGCTGAAGAAGGGTGGTGAGGACGTCATACGATTGGCGACCCGCTATGACACAAGTCCATCAAAGACTGCGTTGTTCTCCTTCCACGGATCCCGTGAGAGAACAGGGGATTTGGCCACTTTGCCCACACAAAGATCAAATAATATTTCAATAAACAAATTAACTCATATGCAACTGCCAACAGTTCGATAGCATTAGAAACAGTACATATTGCGCATATTAAAGCCCTCGTTCGCACAGCCAACCCTTTGCCAAACAAAATTGCCTTTCCCCAGGTCAAGCAAATCTATTGAGAATAGACAGTATCATTTGTCCGAAGGGTTAGCGGTAAGAAATAAAATCCTAACACCAGTCCTGTGTGTTGCGTCGATTACAAGAGGATTGGTAACAGCTATACTGAGAAATGCATCGAATCCAAATGACTTGTAGAAATTAATAATTTCTTCCCCATTTACGAACTCTTGTCACTCCTACAGAATTACATGGCGTAATCGCACCGCTCCGTTGTTGCCAATAACTTAGGGGAGCATGTAAGCAGATAATGGCTTCATGGCATTTTAGCACCTGCAGTGCATGGGCGCAAAGAAGTACCTTTTTTGAGTCAAACAAAAGTATGTTCGAACCTCAACGGTTACTCTTCGATCCATAGGCATATATGCTTTATATCTTTTACGTAGAGATGTACATTCTTCGCAATCATCTATGAATTTAGTAGAACGGACACCATGGACGACAGAGATAACACAGTCAAAGTAAAGCAGTTGCCATCTAAAGCAGATATCATGCAATTTTCGACGAGTAAATATCAGGAGGTGCGACGAGACCGAGTCAAAATGACATGACGGAGGCTAATTCGAACTTCGACCAGTTTTCAACAGTAGAATCTGCACTTTACAACATGAACGATGAAATGGGATCAAATGATCCTTAGAAAATATCATCCTCATTCGAATATTCACCCACTAATACTTCGAACTTGTACTTTCGAAGTGAATCAAACATACCATACAATACTGTCATTATTATTGAGGAAAACGGTTAAATCTGCAACAGTAAGAATGTCAGTTCCACTGCTCGTCTAATCATTTCCTGAAGTGTCTGGTGGGGGCTGTCGTCTGCTTCTATACCATTGGGCCTGCGTGTCTCATTTTCTAAAGCACTGTCTATAGCTGCATGAGAAGGGCAATATGTAGCCTCAAATTATCTTTCCGAGAATAGTGGAATTACTCAGAGTATTTCTTCTGCCTGGATTTTCACAAGCGATTCAACGTCTGCTAGTTTAACGCTCAAACGACATAGTTGTCAAGTTAGTCTGTACGTGAAATATTCAGAAACTTCCAATTCAACCATTATTTAAATAATGATAATCATTTTGCCATTTTCTCATCATCCGTACGTAACCCATTTTAGGAAATAGTGGCATATTTCTCAGTAGTAAAAGAATCAGCAACGTGACCGCCGTAGGAACGAATGAACGAGCAGCTGCACAACTATTGGCCTGCCTTAAACCTAGGAATAAGTGTCGACCAAAAGGGTTGTGGTGAACATGAAGAAAGTGCAGTTTGTAACTTATGTGACATGTTTGAAGAAAACCCATATTTTTTATGTAAGAGGTCCAACAGACTAAGTTTCAAGAAAATATAATGTTCAGCATCAAAAAGTGAAGCTTTTAGTTCAGCTCCATACCGTTTCGACCACGAAGGCAGAATAATAATGAATACCATGTCAAAAGTACTGTTGAAAATACCCTACAGCGGAGAGCGAGTAAGAGAGAAAGTAAGATTCATGTCACAGATGTAAGAACGGTGCAATGTGTACTGGATTGTACATACTATGGTGAGTGTCTACTATATGTGATAGCAGCGACGGTAGTCGCGAAGACCTGTCACTGACTCTGAAAAGATTAGCTAACGAAGCTGGCAGAAATCCGGGGGAGTTTAAATAGCCCGGTCAAAGCGAAGGACATCCTGATTTTAACTCGCCCGGAAATATTGCACGCTACTATGCAAAAAAGACGAAAGTCAAAAATATCATTTCCTGACTACGTGGATGTGCAGCATACGAGAAAACCGCAATATTAATGGTTTATCTATTCTCCTATCGTTCTAAATGGAATACGGCATTTATCATACCCCAGCTTATGAACTATAAGTTAATATGTTGTATGAAAACATGCAAGGAATGCACAACTGTATAAAATCACAGAATTGCTGAGGATCTTACTGAGTAGCACCTGATGTTGTGTACACCCGAGTGCCAACCTAAGAATGGGGAACGTCGGCGGTCAGTCGGAAAGCTGTTCAAAAACTACCTATTACGTAATTCAGCATTAAAAGTGTGAATGTTGGTTGTACAATGGCAGAAGGGTAAGAACACAAACAGGAGTCCTCGATGCCATGGCACAAGTGAAAAATTTAAGTGGAAATGGCCAAGACACGTTGGAAGAATAGCCGACCATTTTTGGGCAATAGATACAGCAACGGAGAGAACAAAAGACAGGTTTGATGACCTCAGAATCGGCGAATAGGTGTAGCTTTACTTAGCAAATGAGGGGAGCTTGATCCACGACTGCATTCAGCGTTTATATATCAGGTAGCTCCCTCCTGCGTTACTGAAAACTATTCCAACAACTCGAAGCAAATGATACATTGTGCTATGCATGAGGAGTTAAGTCTTTCACTGTAATATTGAAAATGTGATATTCTTATGATATGAACCGGAGAATCAACGTTTGGCAGAATATGACCCAATGCTGCCTTGAAAAGGAAGAGTCTTTGTCCATGGTGAATTGAATCAATTCTTCATCGCCATTCATAGATAGGGTTAAATAAAACTGGGGTAAATGTATTCTGTAGTTTTGCTTGTAGCCACCTACATTGACTGATACCTTCCTTATTTGCAATTAATTTGAAAAATGAAAAATGTCAAAGAAACGGTTATGAGAAGAGAAATGATGACGAGAGCAGGTCTGCGCAACTCTTTTCTTCAGATTTTTCACCTCCTCCATATTCATCCGAAAAGAAGGAGGGTTTGTCTGTTTGTTAATATCATCCATTAAGCATATTCCGGATCTTCCGTGTGTTTTTCGTATAATCATCGCATATTATCATCTTATATATTTTACTTTCAGTGTTAGAGGGGAATTTTCAAATTGGATCTATAGCAAGGGTCTGCTTCTCCTTAACACTGAAAAAAATTCATTGTGAAAGCCACATCGAACTCTCTCAGCCTAAAGTTGTGTCGCCTCGTTAGTCAGGTGGTTCAGAGTCCATTACTAAGTAAAATACATTGCCCGTAAATCGCCTTGACTGCGATCCCTAACATACGCCATTGACATCCACTCCGCAACGGACACGATGAGGTTGGACTTGTGGAGAACTGCATTAAATCCGCAAGTGTACAGCAGTAATGGAATGCATTTCGTTTTTTTTCAGAATTAACCAGGTAACTGAAGTCCTTCAGCATCTTTTCCTATGTACATTGAAACAATAGCTCAAATTACAGTGGAAAATCGCATAGCAAAGCTAATCGTCCCCCCTCCCACGTTAGAATCCAATGAGAGAGTTCAAAAACTTATTGCTGGACTGAACCTCCTTTCAGAGATCATGTTGTGACTGTTTAAACGACACAGATACTCGACTACTTTCTCGTCTATTGAGTATCGTTATTAAAACGGAGTAGCGGCTATAATGTTAAGATATATAGTATATCTGGTAGGAATGCCTGATAGAAGTCGCATAATACTGATTAGAACTGTTGGTCTTATTTTAACGACGGATTTGAGGCGAATCAACTAAATATGATTAATTCCTTTTGTACAATCGTGTTCCTTTCAACTCAGCGACGTCATTTTTTTCTTCTGTAGTCGTTATTGTCATTTCTACTGAAAGGCAGTATCTACTAGCCGCTATAGCCATGAATTTGACTTTACGTACTGTCAAGTGCGAACCCAGCCTCACGGTTGTCGACGCTAGAAGTCACACGCCAGAAGAAACGGTAATTGGATGATGATGATGATGATCGT